CGCTTGGTCTTCAGGGCACTAAAGGCTGAGAGAATGACTGTCAGGTCTAGAAACACCCATAGAGTGAGCACTGCAGGTCGGCTGCCCAGGTGCCAAACGTGTGTCCACTGTTTGCTCCCTAACCTATTATGGGCAGGTCAGTTGACCTCACAAAGCCTCAATTTCTTCATCTGTAAAATGGAAGTAAAAATGGTCCCACCCCTAGGGTTGTGATAAGAATGAAATAAAATGGTGCTAGCTTCCGCAGCACATACACTGAAATAGGAACCACAGAGATTAGCATGGCCCCCGCTCAAGGGTGGCACGCAAATCCGTGAAGCGTTCCTTATCTTTCTGTGTATATTCTCAACAGCAAATATTTTTCAGTGAAATGAAATAAATCACATTCCAAGCATGGGATCCTACACATAATAAGTGATCATTAAATGTCAGTCGTTAGTATTTTTTATTGTTAATTCCCTGTCTCCTCACGACAGTGAAAGCACTGCAGTCCACAGGGTTTGTTCATTTCCGTATGTTCAGCACAGTGTCAAGCATTAGTAGCCCTCCTGAGTTCTTTGTTGAATGGATGGAGGCAGGGAGGGGGAGAAGTGGATGGGGGGTAGGTGGGTGGGGTAGTGGATGGATTGGTGGGTGGGTAGATGGATGGATGGGTGGGTGGGTCAATGGATGGATCGTTGGGTGGGTAGGTGGGTAGATGGATGGATGGGTAGATGAGTGTGTTAGTGGATGGATAGATGAGTATAGGTAGGTGGGTAGGTGGACTGATGGAGGGATCCACTAGATTGAAGTTGACCTTCGATGTCATATGATTTGAACCCTCGGGTGCAGTGGCCAGACTCCCTTTCCCTAGCCCCAAAATGGGCTACATGGTTTTATTTCCTTTGTCCACAGGCTTGATAGGAGCTCCCAAAAGAGAGACCTGGCTACAGCTCAGAGCTGAGCTGGAAGCCCTGACAGACCTCTGGCTGACCCACTCCCTGAAGGCTCTAAACCTCATCAATTCCCGGTAAGTGGGAGCCGCCATTTTCCTTTGTGCCACTGAGCTTTCTCCTAAGCTAGGGTAGTATGCCCTCCATATCCACAGTCAGGGGGATGGAACCCCCAGTTCTCACTTGCACACTCTACAGACATTTGATAAAGCTGAGGTATGCCAGGCACAGTGGCTACCTCAGAGTGCAACCAAGCAAACAGCTGCAGAAATTCATCAGCGTCCAGCATGTCTGCACATAAGTCTACCTTGTCCCGCCTGAACCACCCTCGGTCATGACCTTGTCCTCTGCCAGCGGTGCTACAGGACATCACGGATCACCTGGCAGGTTCCCAGTGAGTGGACGAGGGTCACCTTTCATTTTTTTTCATTCCAATAACTTGCTTTTATTCTTAAATAAAAGCCTACCTGCATCAGCATCCAAAACCTGGTGGCTCAGTCAGTCAGTGGATGATTCCCACAGCAGCCCTGGGCTGAAGCCACACTGGTCATGTTCTATTTGACCCACATTGTGTCCCCAAGAGTGGGGAAGTTCACGCATAACTCTAGGTTTCTGGATTCTCAAAGGATCCAGAGTGGCAGATGCTGTCCAGTTTACCCCAGTCCCCACCCCTCCCTGCTATCCCACACTGGTTCTAAAACACACACATTCTCTGTCTAGCCCCTGGAGCTATGATGTGTGCTGCCCTTGCATTAAATATTTGTTTTTTAAATAAGAAAAGTTTTGCATCCATATTATATTTCAACATATTACAAAGCTGCAGGCTTAAAAGAGAGGATCACTGGGCCTTGCCCTTGCCCACAGCTGACCTCCAGAGCACACTGACCCACCCACTACCCACTTTCCTCTCCCTCCCCGCCTTTAATATCCATCCATCCATCCATCTATCTATCCATTCAACCCAGAATTCAGGAGTGCCTCCTATGTGCTTGAAACTGTGCTGAACATGTGGAGACGATGTAGCCAGAGCAGAATTCCTGCCCACTCCAGGCTCATGCTGCAGGGTCAGGAGGCCTGGCCTTATACTTTCAAGTTCTGATCCACAGTCTTCTTTGTCCTCAGGCCCAACTGTGTCAACGTGCTGGTCACCACCACTCAACTCATTCCTGCCCTGGCCAAAGTCCTGCTGTATGGACTGGGCTCTGTGTTTCCTATTGAGAACATTTACAGTGCAACCAAGACAGGTAGGGAAAAGCCAGATGCAAGGAAGAAGGGTGGGCGTTAGCTTTCCATCCCAGGTATGGGAAGTTGAAGGAACTTGTCCACAGGCGTGACTCACATCCCCAAAACAGCCTTCACCACCCACTTGCTTTTCTCTGCTTCTAGAGAAATTGGTTAAGACCATCGTTTTGAAAGTGTATTAGTTAGGTTACATGCAAAGCTGCTATAACAAACACACCCCAGAATACAAAGGATCAGATCCAAAGGTTACTTCTCTCCCATGTAACAGACCAGGGTGAGTGAGCCAGGCTGATGGAGTGACCCAGGAACCCCAGTCCTTCTCATTTTATTTTCCCATCATCCCTAACAGTTTTATTCTCACATACATGCTCAAACCTGAGTCTCTGCCACATTGTCATCCCAGCTTGTGGAAAGTGGGCAAAGAGGAAGGAATAGCGCACACATGGTATCTTAACACCAAGACTCAGAAGGGGCACACATCACTTCTACTCACCTCCTAATGGCCCCAGCTGAGTCATGTGACTCTAACTAGTTGCAAGGGAAGCTGGGAAATTTACTCTGAGTGCTGTGTGGAATTCTGTTACTAAGGAAACAGAGGAGGGCAGGTCCCACCACAGTTCTACTTCATGGTACATGAAGTGATTTTAATTTAGGTGATTCAAGTCATGCCTAAGGCATTTGACTGCTAACCAGAAGGCTGGTGGTTCAAACCCACCAGCTACTCCCTGGAGGGAAGACTGGGCAATCTACTTCTGTAGTGATACCACCTTGGAAATACAAGGAGGGCTCACTATGAGTTGGCTCCGACTCAAAGCAGTGAGTTTGGTTTTTTTGGTTAATGATCTTGAACCTGTTCTTGAACCACACAGGAGATTTAGAAAATTATTCTCTTTTTAATTCTCTTTCAAGGACAGTCTCAGTTTAGTGCTAGGCTGCCTTTGACACTTTTATAATACTTGTTAATCTCCTTGTTAATAAAGAGAACAAGCTTCAGGCCCAGAACCTTAATCAGCTAAGAAAATTGAACAACTAGATGTTAACAGCGTTGTTTATCATCAGTAACCTTCTCTGATGGCAAGTAATAGTAACACTGATTTCCTTTTTATCTTAGTGATTCTCTTCCCTATTTAAAAATAGCTAAGTAACAAAAGAAGTGTGTGTTGATATTAAGAGAAAATATTAATTATAGTGGTTCTCAGATGCGGTCACAGTTGTGAAGGTTCTGGAGGGTTTGAGAAGCAGTGGTCCAGGCTGTAGTTGACAAGAGATGATTCTGGAACGAAGGGCTTGATGGTCAGTGATAAGATCGGAAGACTTATAAGGAACATGAGCGTGACAAGCTCACCCACTTGCCATCGCGTGCACTTGACGCATGGCAGTCCTGTGTGTGCCAGAGTGTCACTCTGCTCCTTCAGGTTTTCAGTGTCTGGTTTTTTCAGAAGTGATGGCCAGTCTTTTCTTCCAAAGTGCATCTGGATGGACTTGAACCTCCAGCTTGGTCAACAGTGACTGGGTTTACTGTTTGCATGGGTGGGGATGTTGAACATCAAAGGCTCTGTTGAGTGCTGCAACCGAGAAACTCTG